ACCACTGAACTCAGTAAATCAAAGTCATTTGGCCAAAGCTTATTATCAGTTCCTCGCTTCAGAAAGGCCCGTAGGTGTATTTTTCAAGCAAAACCAGTTCACCTGCTCCTTAAAGCCTCAGCCTGTGTGGTTTCTGCAGAGATTTATTTCATCACTTATTCCCTAAATTTTTTTCATACTTTTGTTGTGAAGAGACTGGTTTCCCCACAGACAGCCTTATCCAGTGGAGTTCACACCCCAGGACGTGGTACATCTGCAGATCTGCCGCTGGCCATCGTGGCCAGTGTGTGTTCAGCCCCTTCATTCTTCCCTCGGATATTAGGGGTTCCTTGTCCCCAAAGTCACAGAATCCCAGAATGTTGGGGATTGGAAGGGACCTTGAAAGATCATCCAGTCCAACCCCCCTGCCAGAGCAGGAACCTAAATGAGATCACACAGGAAGGCGTCCAGGCGGGTCTTGAATGTCTCCAGAGAAGGAGACTCCACACCCTCCCTGGGCAGCCTGTCCCAGGGCTCTGGCACCCTCACTGGAAAGAAGTTTCTTCTCAAGTTGAAGCAGAACCTCCTGTGTTCCAGCTCACACCCATTGCCCCTTGTCCTACCATTGGGCATCACTGAGAAGAGCCTGGCTCCATCCTCCTGACATTCACCTTTACATATTTATAAACATTAATGAGGTCACCCCTCAGTCTCCTCTTCTCCAAGCTAAAGAGCCCCAGCTCCCTCAGCCTTTCCTCAGCAGGGAGAAAAGTCCCTGCTTGCTTTTCTCCCAGGCTGTGCTCTTCTGGCTGCTCCTAGTTGTCTTTCTGCTCACGTTCTTGCACGCTGCAGCCTGGTTCTTTGTCAGCCACTTCCTCACTGTTGCCTGCGCAGACTCCTTTTTGTCGTGTGGGATTTACTCCTCCACCACACGTTCCCCATTGCACCCTGTTGTACTTTAGCCCTGTAATAGCAACCTTGGAGTCACAGGGTGCTGAGTGCTGGCACGTGTCCCTGCTCCCTTGAGGGTACATTAGCTTTAGGAAAAAGCTTTTTTTATTTTTTTTTTAAATTTTTGGTAAAAAAACCTGGTTGGATAGGAAAGCAGAACTGCACTTGCTAACCCAGAGTCACAGAATCACAGTGGTTGGAAAAGACCTTTAAGATCATCAAGTCCAACCATAAACCCAACACTGCCAATCCCACCTCTAACCCATGTCCCTGAGCACCTCATCTGCCCGTCTGTTCAATCCCACCAGGGAAGGTGACTCCACCACCTCCCTGGGCAGCCTGTTCCAATGCCTGACAACCTTGGGGTGAAGAAGCTTTTCCTCAGATCCAATCTGAACCTCCCCTGGGGTAACTTGAGGCCATTTCCTCTTGTCCTGTCCCTTGCTCCTTGGTTGAACAGACCCACCCCCACCTCTCTCCACCCTTCTTTCAGAGAGCTGGAGAGAGCCAGAAGGTCTCCCTCCCCTCAGCTTCCTTTTCTCCAAAACTCAGATGAGTCTGCAGTATTCAAGGGTGTCAGAAAAACAGTACAAGAAAATGAAAATCTCTCGAGGGCAGTGCTGGAAAGGGATTTGCCTGGGATGTGTTTGAGAGGTTGAGTTTTGGGAGGCTGAGGAGGAGCTGTAGGTAGTCAACACCTCTGAATTGCTGTAGCTTCTTAAAAGGGCTACTTTCAGCATCACCTCTCATTTCCTTTTAAGGTTTATTGTAGTTTGCTGTTGTTAAAAGTATCACAGAGTCACAGAATCATGGTGGTGTTGGAAGGGACCTCAGGAGACCATCCAGTCCAACCCCCCTGCCAAAGCAGGTTCCCTACAGCAGGCGAGACTTCTGTGAAGCAAACTTTGTGGTTTATATTTGTAGAGTTGACAGCCTCTGTGAAAATTTCCCATGCTTGAATAAATTTCTTACAGCACGAGAGAGAACACAATATATAACTTATTGTAGAGTTAAAAGTGTGTCCTTAAAAAAAACCCCAACAAATCAGATGTAGGGTTCAGCTCACAGGCTGGTGCCCCGCGTGTACTGTGACTTCATGGCTGGGTGGCAAACTGGTGCTCTGCACGAGTGAGTGAGTCAGTGAATGTTGAATAACCTTGACAGAAAGACCTAATGAATTAATTTTTAATCCAGGCAGTGTTGCAAGATAGTCAGTGTGTTGCACATCTTGTGATCAGCTTCTGGTTTCTTTTAATCTTTCTAATGAAAGGCTTCAAAGGCAGAAAGGAAGGAAATAATCACTTTTTCATGTTCCTTGCTGCATGTTGCTTCTGGTTTCTTTTAATCTTCCCAATGAGAGGCTTCAAAGACAGAAAGGAAGGAAATAATTACTTTTTTAAGTTCCCTGCTGCATGTTTATTTAATGGAATGGTAAGAAATACAGTAGCTGAAGTCTTCCCCTTGATATTTCTTGTCCCTGATTCTCAATTAAGCTTATTAATAGAAAAAAAACTTTGAAAATATGAGGTGGAAAAAAATTATTAAAAGCAGAGTGGGGGAAAGAGGATATAAAAATGGGAGCTGCTAGCTTGTGCGTGGCAAAGGGCTGGAGGAAAAGTTAGGAGCAGGCAAACTAAAAGGGGTTGATTTAATTTACTGATTAAAAAAAACCACAAAGAGCTATTAATTGAAAGTACTTCATAAATCACTCTGAATCCGTATTCCCATTATTACTTTTTCATGATGTTTAAAACTACAGCAATCTTTAAACTTTTTAGAAATAAAAAAAAATACTAATGTGCCATTTATAGTGTGCAGCTTAAAACTGCACCCTCCTGACTTTCCGTGGATGCATGCAGGAGGCTGGAGATCAGAGCAGGAAAGTTAGGGAAGTCGTTTCCTTTTGTGTCTCTGATTTTTTGTTTGGTTTTATTTGGGGTTTTTTTTAGGCACAAACAGATACTTCAGGGAAGTAGCCATGAAAACGGGTCTGAATGTCGTCTTTGTTGACTGCACAAAACCAGAATGCTTGGAAGCTGCGATTACACCAAACACCAAGGTAGGGGAGAGGGAAGGTGCTGAACTTCTTGCGTAATGTTAAATAACTTTATTCTTGCTCTTGTTGTATTGGGTGTATGTGTCAAGCTGAGAGGGCTGCAGGGGTGGCCTCTGTGGGGACAGGTTGGGCCATAGCTGGCTCCAACACGTCCCCACCACAGGCTGCTTGGTGATGTTGGTGGTACCTCATTAAAAACATTTTAAGGAGGGTGAAAAACACCAGAGAGAGAGAGAGGGAAGGAGGGAAAAGGTAAGAAACAGCAGAGGGAACACCAGGGTCGGAGGAGGAGGAAGAGGAGGAGGAGGAGGTGCTCCATGGCACTGGAGCAGATAATCCTCTGCTCTAGTGGAAGATAATTCAAGTGGAAAAGCCTGACAGACTTTTATCATAAATGGTTTGGGTTGGAAGGGACCTTAAAGCTCATCCAGTCCCAACCCCCCTGCCAGCAGCAGGGACACCTTCCACTAGACCAGGTTGCTCAAAGCCTCATCCAGCCTGGCCTTGAACACTTCCAGGGAGGAGCAGCCACAGCTTCTCTGGCCAACCTGTTCCAGTGTCTGACCACCCTCACAGTGAAGAACTTCTTCCTAATATCTCATCTAAACCTCCCCTCTTTCAGCTTAAACCCATTTCTCCTTGTTCTGTCATTAACTGCCCTTATGAAAAGTCCTTCCCCAGCTTTCTTGTAGCCCCTTCAGGTACTGGGAGGCCACTAGAAGGTCTCCCTGGAGCCTTCTCTTCTCCAGGCTGAACAGCCCCAACTCTCTCAGCCTGTCCTCACAGCAGAGCTGCTCCAGCCCTCACATAATCCTGGTGGCCTCCTCTGGACTTGTTCTAGCTGCTTTTGAGCGTAAAGACTTTCTTCTGGCTATGTCAGACCTTCCTCAGATGGGATGCACTTAGGTTTCAAAAGCTTTGATGTTCTTCCCATGTATCCGTTGTTTCTGTGCAGAGTGTTCCCTCTCCCCAGAAGCCTTGCCTTTCTTCAGTAGGGACACTTTCTTATTCCCACTCTGCAAACCTGCATGGGAAGCTGACACTCAGGGAGTTCTTATTTAAAAGCACTTATGTCTTACGTGTGTATCATCACCAGCACTGTAAAATCTCTAACCTGGTGTTCTGTGCTGAATCACTGCAGCTCGTTTGGATCGAAACACCCACAAACCCCACGCTGAAGGTCATTGACATTCGGGCCTGTGCAGATGTTGTACATAAGCATAAAGGTGTTCTTCTGGTGGTGGACAACACTTTTATGTCTGCATATTTCCAGGTAAGCGCTTTGTTTGTGTCCAGTTACCCCATTATTTCAGTTTATTCCATTTTTAAAATGGAAGCACCACCATGGAACTCTAGTTTTGTTTTATGCATTGTAAAATTGCCTGTTTTTCCAAATACAACCCATGTGCTGCTGCTCTTTACATCAGTAAAGATAGTGTGTGAGGTATTTCATAGCTAGCCATATACCAGTATGATACCAGCAAAACCAGTATAACTCAGCAGTCAAGTAAAGATCCTGAATCAAGAGAGTCAGGTCAGCCATTGGGAGAATGGCTTCTCATCGTTCAAAAGTCATGTTTTTCAGTTCTCACTAGTGGAAATCATATCAGGCGTGTTAATAAGTGTCCTATTCTCTAACTTTGCCTTTTTATACTGATTCTTTTGTATGTGCTGTTTATAATCTGTTCTGAACCACTTGTTTTAAAATAAAAGGTGGTGGAATTAAAAGTTGAAACAAGCAAACTTGGTTAAATCTTTCTTCTAGACATTCAGGTTACCCTTTCTTTTCCAGATTTTGGTGAATGTGTGTGTGTGATTTTGATCTCAAACAACTGGTTTAACTTTTCTGCTTTTAGAACTCAAATACATGAAGTGGAGACAATTTCTTAAGTTCTAAATATACTTCAGAATAATAAACTTCAAAGTCTTGTTCATCTTAACATGGGCTAGAAATATTCATGTGTATTTCCCAGGAGACCAAGCTAATAATTTGTATTTTAGGTCTAAAGTAATTTTTTTTTTTCTGAGTGCAACAGCAAGGTGTCCTTGTTTTTGTGAAGGGTACAGAGATCTTATAAAGATCTATAAATCTGTAAAGATTTGTAAAATTAAGAGAGCTTTTCAGAAAGTGTCAGTGCTCAGCTGAAGCAGCACTTGAGTTTGTCTTGTACATACCAAAGGCTTGGTGATTTCCCCTCTACAATGTGTATTACCTTGGAAAGATGTGTGTGACAGAAGAAAAGTGAGCATCTGGATATATGAGCTAGTTAATGTATCTTTTATTGGCCTGGCGCTATGAGAAAGTCAGCAGCAATGATTAATTCTTGTAAGTGTAACAAGGTAATGGCGTTAAACCCCTGCAGACTGCTGCTGGTACACCCTGCTGTGAAAACCCTCATTTTAGAGTGATTTATATAGCAATATTGAATGGAAAAGGCGCCGGTGTTTATGCTGCTGCTCTCTTGGCTGCGCACTGGGATTGCACATTATCCACGTTCCTTGAGCAGATGTCCCTGTTTAATCTGACAGCAGCAGTGGTTTATTCTAGATCTGCTTGCTCTGTTACCTTTTAACATATTGATTCTCTTCAGTCTTTATAATATACTTATATTATGTGCAAAGTCTCTTAATTAGTGACTGATTAAAAACGAACGCACCGTTGGTTACTTCTTGCTCACCGATATCTCAGTTTGCCTCACCTTAGAAAGGCTTCTGGGCAGGGAGCTGGGAGGTCAGAGAAGAGAGACCTGGCAAACAAACCCCTTTGCACTTTCAGTGTCACCAATATTGATATCTAGAAAGCAATGCCCTTTTTTTGCTCTGCAGACTATGTTGAGATCCTCATTTTCTAAGGGAATACACTTTAATTACCATTACTTACCCCTGCCTTGGCTATTTTTGATTTTTTTTCCCCAAATACGAGCAGGCTGTGTGTTAGATGTATTCAATCACTCCTCTCCCTGCAGCTGCTGGGAATTAGACCAGTGCTTTTAAATCACATTTTATTCTGGGTTCTTTTTAATGTGCTTATCTTGAATTCAGAGTGCTTTCCTGGGCTATTGTTTTCATCACATTCTATCTATCTTCATTCTCAGGTTTTTGTGTTTAAGATCTTGAGTTTTGTGTTAAATTGTTGTTTTTTTTTAGTTTCTCCACCTGTTGTTATTTTCTGTCTTGGATCACAGCCTTTCTGGATAGCTTGAGATGAACCAGAGTGCACACAGACTTTAATCAGACGTATTCTTTTCATTTCATTTCAGCGTCCTTTATCTCTGGGGGCTGATATTTGTATGTATTCTGCCACCAAATACATGAATGGTGAGTACACAGCTCAACACAACTCAAGATGACTATTTAAAAGCCATTTTGGCTGCCAGCAGTTCCCAAAAGCCACCGTGTCTGCCAGTAACTCTTAGGTGGACCATTAGAGGAGATGGGCCATTGTATAGAACATGAGTCTGTGTAGCTCCTAAACTATCCCTGGGAGAAGGAATATTGACCTGAGGAATATTCAGGTAATAGACCTAGAGGTGTTTATAGCCACGTTGGCTTTAATTTGACTGCAACAAAGCAAGTGGCTTCAGTAGAAGGTAGCTCCCAGGAATTATATGAAGGTTCAAAGGAGGTTTGCTATGGCTGTGTTGGAGCCTGTCCAGAAGCACCTTCACTTGGAGCTGGTGTGACTGGAGCTGTAACCACACATCCCTGGTGCTGTGGATAGGGGTGGAAGTTTTCTGGCTCTCTCTCTCTAAGCCAGCAGCCTGGTGCTGCTCCATCTGATCCCTGTGTGATGTCCTGCTTTCCTGCAGTTACTGGTGATGGGCCTGGGGGCTGTCTGAGAGCACGTGTGCAGCTCTGACCAGAGCTGTAGGAAAAGCTGAAATCTGCCTCGTGATTCCTGTGCTGCACAGGAAGGATGGCTGGAGCCACGAGAAGGAGCCCAGGGTCTCAGAAAATGGGACTGTGTTAGCACCAAGACTGAGGAAACGGGGGTTTGTGGCAGAGCCCTGGGGCAGATGGAGCGGCTGACTCTGTTCTTGTCTTGCACTTCTAGGGCACAGTGATGTTGTCATGGGACTTGTTTCAGTAAACTGTGATCAACTCTATGAAAGGCTCAAGTTCTTACAAAACTGTAAGTAATTGATATAGGAAATACCTTGAAATGAGTAATATTCAAATCCACCAGCTTGTGATGGGAAGCACGTTGCGTGCACACAAGTGTGAAATCTATCTAGAGATGTAGCTCAGGCTACAGTGCCAACGTGTAAATCACCAGAGAGAAAGCAGAACACAGATGTAAGAAACCTGACTTCCCTTCTTTAAATGATGCATTTATTTAAGGGCAGTTAATGACAAAACAAGGGGAAATGGGTTTAAGCTGAAAGAGGGGAGGTTTAGATTAGATATTAGGAAGAAGTTCTTCACTGTGAGGGTGGTGAGACAGTGTCCCAAGTTACTCAGAGAAGCTGTGGCTGCTCCTCCCTGGAAGTGTTTGTGGCCAGGCTGGATGAGGCTTTGAGCAACCTGGTCTAGTGGAAGATGTCCCTGCTGCTGGCAGGGGGGTTGGAACTGGATGAGCTTTGAGGTCCCTTCCAACCCAAACCAGTCTGGGATTCTGTGATTTAACTTCATCTAACTCATGTCAGGTACATCTGGGGTTTTGAAACTCATTCGCACACCAGGGGATATGCCTAATGTAGAATTTTCATATAGAGGTTGATTTTAACAATTTTACTGCCTCTTAATTGTAATGAATACATTTCTGGACAGTGTTCTGCCTGCCTCCTGTCTGCAGCAGAAGGGGTAAAGGCACACTCTGTCTAGTCAGTGTAATCCTGGAAGGTCTTCAGCTTGTTAATTCAGCTCATTCCTTGGCATCCCGTGTGTGCGAGATGAGGGAGACAGATTGCATCAGATAGCTTTCCACTAGTCTTGTTCTAACTTGAGAAATTTTGGAAATCATGACTGAAAAAAAAACCAACCCAAAACTTTTGTTTCATGAGGAATTTTCTTTCAATTTCTGTAGCTCTTGGAGCTGTCCCATCTCCCTTTGACTGTTTCCTGTGCAATCGGGGTCTGAAGACGCTACAAATCCGGATGAAACAACATTTCCACAATGCATTAGCTGTTGCTCGATTTCTTGAGTCACATTCCCGGGTGGAGAAAGTCATTTTCCCAGGTAGGTTGGCTGGCAGGACTTCAGAGCGGGTGACGTCTTAGAGCACGGCTGGATTTGGGGACTCTGATGCTACGTGCTGGTTGTGCACTCTTCATATTCGGTGACTCTGGCTTAGGTGTCCGCCTTGGCAGTGGGTCTGAGCTGAGGCTGAGCTGTTTCACCCTTTGAAGTGATGGTAATTAACTTAAAGCAACTTGTACAACTTTCAGGCTTGCCTTCTCACCCTCAGCATGAGTTGGTCAAGCGGCAGTGCACCGGCTGTCCTGGGATGGTCACTTTTTACATTAAAGGAAATGTCGAACATGCTGCTGCTTTCCTCAAGAATTTAAAGGTAAATTGTGATAAATACACACTACCTAATGGGAGGAAGTGGTTTTTCTTAGGGCAGGAAGAGTCTTTTTCTACTTGCAAAGCTCCTAAAGTTTTTTTTTTGGGTGTAACCATCTCTAAATAATAGATTATTTGTAAATGGGAGGCTAATAAGAGGGAAGAAAAGGAAGTCTGGGCTCATTTGCAGTGTTTACACAGGAGGGTGTAGTATATCCAGGTTAGCACAGGCATTACTTCTAATAAAGGGCCTGCATACCTGCCTTTTAAAAAATACCTGCAGTATTTGAAAGCAGAGAGGCTGTGGCTGGTGTAATACTCTTGCAGTATTTCAAAGTACTCATCAGGAGAAAAACCCATTGAGAAGTGACATGAATCATGGAGCAAATCCCTCAGTTTGGAGAATACTTTTTGGTTATTTTACCTAAACCATCTGCTTTTGCCTTTCTCTTTGCAATGTTTTAATTCTGCCTGTGCTCTTTAGTGTGTTTGCTAGTCTTGAGCTCTGGGTAATTTGCACCCTGCTCTTGTGTTTTTGCTGTTTTATTCTTGGAATAACGAATCAGTACTATTTGAGAAAGGTAAATTAGAACTTCCTTCTCCTCCCTATCTTACTTGCCAGCTAATGTCATCAAATAAAAATGAATTTACTAAAAATATGATTTTCCCACAAAATATCCTCTTACATAAGAGACAGAGCACTTAATCCTGGCACAGGAGATCTATCAGCTTTGAGAAAAAGCATCGGAGAGTAGGTTCCAGGAGTAGTCTCTTAGGAGTATATTCACTTCAGCCCTTTGACTTGGTTAATCATCAGTTTGTCACTAGGCTGGTACAAAAGTAAAATAATTTCTTTAAACCAGGCTGAGAAGAGGATTCTTTAGTTAACAGGTTCAATTAATTTGGGGGGTTTTGGGTTTTTTTTGTTGTTTTTTTTTTTTTTGTTTTTTTTGGTTTTTTTTTTTTTAAGAAAAAAAGTCAATATGAGCAGCCAGGGCTGGAGAGAATTGTTGAGGGCAGTAAGTGCATTCACAAAAGATAAATTGTGAGTTTCTGTTTGAGTGCAGTTGGCTCTCTGGAGAACCTTTTTGTCATCCAGAAATATATATGACCGTAACTCAGAGAGCAGTGCTAAAAATAACCTGAACTAACAAGTGTTTCACAAACACCAGGCCTGTTAGGCACTGAGAAATTTAGGCTGGCTTTCAAAATACTGAACTAAGCATCAGACCTGAGCAGTGAATGAAAAAACCTGTTCAGCCTTGTGAGGAGAAGCTTAAATGTTTGGGGTTTTCAGCCCCCCATCAGGTCTGCCATTTGCCAGCCTGAAAAGCTTGGGTGTTAAATATGAACAGTGATGAGTGATGCTGAAAGAAGAGTGTGGGAGGGTGGGATATAATCACTTAAACCCCAACAGAAATTTCTGAGATCTGAGTTTGTGTTCAGGCAGCCTACTCCATCCTTCCTTCCCCTGAGCAGAAGGAAAGCTCAGAACCTGCTGTTGTGCATTTTCCCTTCTGCTCTTCCTCCACTGCTGCCCACACGTTGCACTGTGGTGACTACTCCCAAGTTATATTTGCCCAATATGGACATATTTTAATTTCAGTTTTGCATCAGTGTCTCTTTAGAGCCTTTTTAGGGTGAATCTAGTCTAAATCTTAACAGCTCTTACCTGCTAAATATACACTTTTTACCTAATTACAGCTAATACCTTTCATAATACAAAAGTTATTACAGAAAAAGTTAGAAAAAAACCCAAACAAACCACTGAATGTTCTTTTTTTCCTTAACTGTCTCTTTCTAAGCATTCCTAACCTTACATTGCTTCTGTTACTTCTGTTTACTTTTTCCTGTAGGTTTTTTCGCTGGCTGAGAGTCTGGGAGGATATGAAAGCTTAGCAGAGCATCCGTAAGTCATTCTTCATCTTCAAAGTCTAAAAAAGCTGCAGAGAAGCAAAAAAGTTTCTGAGCTATTTTTATGGGTGTTCTAAAATTTTTCTAGTACCCAAAGCTAAGATATTTTATGTATAATTTAAATTCAAGGATAGTATGTTGTGTAGCACAAAAACCAGTGGCTAGTCCAGAAATGCCTGTGGCTTTTGTGAATATAAGAGCGCAGTGATGAAAACATTTCCGTGCTTCCTTGTCAGGTTCAACAAGGCCAAGTGCAAGGTCCTGCACCTGCATTGGGGTAACCCCAGCACAGATCCAGCCTGGGTGAGAATGGCTGGAGAGCAGCTC